CGGTCGCCGGGGGCGGGTGAGGGGGATGTCCCACCACGAGATGCTGGGCTGCTGGCTGAATGGCCGGGCGTGGCGGGCCGGGCGTCGGGCCCAGCGCTCTGCCCCGAGCCTGGCCTGGTGTGGCCTGCCCTGCCAGCAGCATGCCCTCCCCGACCCCTACCCGCCCCGTCCGATATTCCCGCTCCGGCCCTTCTCTTTTTTGCTCGTCCTCTTTCCCCCCGCGCTTTTTATCTTCTTTGCCCTCAACCTTTCTCTATCTCTCCTGCCGCCTCTCTCCCTCCGTCCCTACCCCTGTCTCTCTTGTTCTTTCTTCTTTCTCACTCGTTCGCTCTCTCGCTCTCTCTTTCTATCTCCCTCTTTTACTTGTCGTCTTTTGCAATGCAGCGGCACTGGCCGTTTCATTGAAATATTAAAATGGGGGAGAGAAAAGAAATCTGCAACGGCAAAATGCAACATTGTTCTTGAGGCATTATGCTGATATTTACTCATTTGCTCCGTTTTGTTTTCACAGAGCTCCAGCAAAGACCCGGCACGCAGCCGGCCGCCGCCCCTCCACCGGATTCCTAATGAATTGAGCCGCAAAGTGCGTGCAATTAAGCCGAGTCAATGGAATGGAAGATCCGACACCTCGACCCGCCCGCCGAGTACCGGCAGCGCAGCGCTCACAGCCCCACAGTGCCGGTGAGTATTTCTCTATATTATTATAATACATATCCACGCGGGACGATAAACTGACCTCTCTGCGCGGAGAGGTCGTGCGCGGCATGCATAATTTATTTTCCTCGCGCGGCTCCTGCTGATGTACCTCGCCCTCCCTCTCCACGTCCGTCCGTCCGGCCCGCACGGTGCACCGGTCATCCCGTGTGCTGCTGCGGCAGTGCAGCGGCTGGTCCAGCGGCTGGTCCAGCGCACCCTCCGGACCGGTTTATACGGCCGGATCTGGCCCTGCCCTGCTGTGGCCCGGGCGGCCCCTCTCCGCTCCGTCCCGCTCCGTCCCGCTCCACCCCGCTCCGCCCCCCGCGCTCACCCCCACCTCGGTGCACCACGGGCCTCAGCGGGTGGGACCCTGTGTGCACCGCGCACCGCGAAAATTTGTGTTTTGCTATAAGCCTAATAGAGATGGGCGAACAGGCCAGTTCGCATTCATAAGTACTCGAACAAAATCAGCCCGAAAATCTTCACACCGATCCGAACACGACTATCACGACTTCTCTCCCAACCGAACCGAACAGTTCTCTGTTGAATTTCGAGGGAGCAAGCAAATGTGATACAATTTGCGCGTTTGCTCCATATCCCATTTTCAATTAATGGGAGCCGGCTGATACGGCAGTGGGGCCACTAGGCCCTTTTCTATTGGTCGTTAATAAATTTTTTAAATTCCTAAGTTCCAAGATGCTACTACGCTAACAATTTCTAAAAATTAACACCTCAAAAGTAGTCTTAACTTCAGTTTGACACGAGAGAATGAAAACCGCTCACCTCTAGCGACCGTATAGAAAACCGCTTACCTCTGGTGAGAGTCTGAAAAACCGCTCACCTGAGCAGACCGTTTGGAAAACCGCTTAAATGACTTTTTTACACATTTGACAATATTGGTTTGATGAGAATCAGCGTCGTTCAGGAATCATTTGGATACCAATATCACAAAATGTGTAAAAAGGCATTTAAGCGGTTTTCCAAACTGTTTGCAGAGGTGTCGAGTTCAGATGATATCCTATCCTATGCGGAAATAACAGATTTTAAACATACCAACACTTGTAATAAAATATGAAGTTTATTTTGTTTTCATTCCAAAATCATCGGGTGATGCGTACTAAAGTACGAGGCGCAAGGCGGCCGGCTTGGTAGTCGCTCCCGAATTTTGCCGCGAGTCCAGAGCGGGGCGACGATACACGGGGGCATTGTCAAATTCGTTTACGTTACCAGGGCGAAGCGAAAACTTGGAGTAGCAGGACGGTCTAGACGCCCAAGACCACACAGCACTTAAGACATTCATTGATTTCTGAGCAGGGCGAGCAAAACACGAGAAACAAACCTATCTCAACCGCTCTCTAAGATCACCCTGGTAAATCATTGTGCCTGTAGCTATAAAAACTCCATGGAATTTCCAGCGTGGGGAAAGTGTGGAGGTGATTTGTATTTGTATTTTGGTCCTCGGCCCCGAGCAGTGTAACCGGGCCCCGACCGCGCTGGTGGTGCTCTTGCGCCCGGCTGACCGACAGGGCAAGCGGCAGGCCGTGTGAAAAAACACCCCCTCCCTCCGCTGCCCCTCTCGTCACCTGTGCCTTCGCAGGCAGCGGCCTGGGGATAACGAGGGAGTGGGGCGGGGCCCAAATGAGGGCGGCGGCTGCACTTCAACCATGGCTCTCTGTATAGTAGGAAAACACGACGAGGACGCCGAAGGCCGGCCGTGTGATGTAGACGCAATGCACACCCTCATCCGATGCAGCTAGATTGTCCGGCCTATTTTTCTCCGACCTGGTAATTTTTCCAAAACCCACCAAAGTGCTGTTCGACCTTCTTTTCTCCGACCTCGTCGATATGCTAACACTTGGGAAGAAAGTACTTCAAAGAGGAACAGGCTTCAAAAATAGCAAGCTACGTCGAGGGACGTATATCGTGAAAGCAGATGACACAAATTTAAGGAAATATGTCTGTGTCCTAATTTTCTCTCGTATTTTGCTGTAATTTGTTTACGTTTTGAAGTGCGGGGAACAGCATATCAAAATATGACTTTTGGGGAGTTCCTTAGGTGAGGGATCAGACGGGACTTAGCCGCTGTATCGCTCTTTTAGCGAGCGCTCACCTCTCTCCCGGTTCGGCGGTGGCGCCAAACGTCCGGGTGCAGGGCGACACTTTGGGTCCATGCTGACCCAGCCGACCTCTCACCAAAGTAACCCATAAAAGTTATCCCTGGACCTGCACCCGGACGTTTGGCGCCACCGCCGAAACGGGAGAGAGTTGTGCAGTCGCTAAAAGAGCGATACAACGGATAAGTCCCGGCCGATCCCTCACCTAAGTAACCCCCAAAAAGTTGTCGCCATCTTTTGATATGTTGTTCCACGCACTTCAAAACGCACAAATAAGTATATGTTGTGTGAACAAGAAAAAATATTTCTTCACACTTACATTTTTTTTTAGCAGTCAGCGACATCGTAGAATGGATCGTTCCCTGGAGCGATAGACCGTATCTC